AATCTAACATAACAACTACACTTCAAAGCCAGTTTAATAATTTATTTTTTTTATTTTTATTGTGATTTGGGTGAAAGTTTACACAGCAAAGTCATCTTCCATATAGCAGTTCATACACATTTTGTCTCATGACATTGACTGTAATTCCCCACAATGTAACAGCTCTCTTCCCACTTCTTCCTTGCAGTTACCTCTTCTCTGTGTCCTTCCCTCCCATGCACTTCTACACCCCTAAGACACTTTACTGCTAACCAGAAGGCTGGTGGTTCAAAGCCACCAACCACTCCTCAGAAGGAAGGTTGGGCAATCTACTTCCGTAGTGATACCGCCTCAGAAACCCAAGGAGGGATCGCTATGAGTCGGGTCCAACTCGACGGCACCACCACCACCAAACAGCTGTCTCCCCATGCAAACACGGCCCCTCTGTTCTCCCATGACTAATCGCTCCAAGTAGTGTATCTACCTTATGTAAATGTTCAGCCCATAAGCCTATTGTTTGGCTGGAAGCCACAGGAGTTCAATTTCAGATCTGAAGGGTGGGGTTCTGAAGGGGTCTCACCAGGCTCTATCAGACCAACAAACCTGGTCTCTTTTTATGATTGAGTTTAATAATTTTTGAATGAAGAAATGAATGAATACCATATCAGAAATGTTTTCTTAATATAGACTAAGCTAATTACAGTGATCAGTCATAAGTTGAATTAGTGCTTTCCAAGGTAGCTGGCTCTATTTTTCAAAATGAATCATCACAAAGAGAAAAAGAGTTCATTTTTTAAAGATGTCAAGATTAAATTTTTAATGTCATGGTAAGTAATGGCAAGATTCTGGAGTGGGTTATTCACTGATTACTGCTATTTAGCAGTAATTTAAAAATAAGGTGAGAGCAATGTTTATACCAACATGCTATTTAAATACTCAAAACCACCTCTACTAATATGGTGAATTGATTCATATTTACTAAATAATATATTTCATTTATTGTGTACCACTTTTAATAAAACTTAAAGCATGTCACAGTTATTATTTTAGTTAATATGACATCATCTATCTATGCCAGGAGACTGGCGTTGCCTTTTTGAAAAAATGACAAAGGAATCAAGGGCTGGATGTGTTAAGGTTTTTTATCTACCATGAAGCTCCACCAGCAGATTTGACTTCCAGAGCCCTCTATACTTGTCCTGTTACTGCCTGACCTACACTTAGCGGATACCTGAATAACAGGGGAATCATAAAACATGCTGGAAGGACTCAGCCTCTTGCATTAAATTTCCCAGAAAATGTAGAGGATCTTAAAATTGTTAGATGTCCTAATCAGCCTCTCAGGAAGGAATGTCTATTATCATCACTTCAGCGTGTCGGTATTGTGAACTCATGACAAAGACTGTGGCACATTTAATCTCTTCTGGTCCTTACTTTAACCAGTCTCATCAATGAAATTGCCTCTTTTTAACTAAGAGTGATTCTAAGTTAAGGGGATTCTAAGTTAATTTATTGAATGTTATAAGTGTCAGGCATTGTGCAAGACACTAAGATTACAATGATAATCACCACACAGTCCCTGTTTTCAAGGTCTCATGGCTTACTGGGAACTCAGACGAATAAACTGAAAATTACCACAGGCAATGATCAGTGCTATAATGGGGGCAAGTGGAGGCGGCTTTGGGTGTCATATTGTTTAGCCTGGGGGATCAGAAAAGGCTTCCCAGGAAAAATGGAAATAAATGTCATGAAGCCAAGGCAAGGATTATCCAGGTGATGAGAGAGAGAGAGAGAGAGAGAGAGAGAGGGAATGGCTTGATTGAAGCACTGCAAGAAATACAGCACACAGCATTGCTAAAGCACAGAGTTTCCAGGAGATCCTGGTGGTGGTGGTGGTATGGGAGAATGAGGCTCTAGAGTTGTGTTGTCCAATATGGTAGCCAATAGTCACAAGTGGATACTTAAATTCAATTTTAAATTAAATTAAATTAAAAATTCAACTCCTGAATTTCATTAACCATATTTTAAGTGTTCGATAGCTACTTGTGGCTACTATACTGGACAGTGCAGACATTAAATATTTCTACCATCACAAAAAGTTCTATTGCACACTGCCACTCCAGAGGCAGGCAGGGGCCAAGTGAAGATAAGGTTTGAATAGTATGCCAAGGTGTTTGGGCCTTATTCTGAGGACGATGGGATGCCAGTAAAGTGTTTCCAGCAGAGAAGAAGCATGACCAAAATATGTATTAGAAAAGTCACTCTGCAATGCACAAAAAGAATTAGAGAGAGGCAAGACTTGGAGTTAGAGGGAACAGTAGAGTATTGCACTAATCAAAGCAAGAGATGATGGGAGCCTGGAATAGGTAATGTAAGAGAGAATTGCATAGACTCAGGACTATTGAAAAATAGAATCAAAAGGACTTACGGTTTAGATGTGGAGGGTGAGGGAGGATGAAGTCGAGGCTGATGCCTGGCTTGGGTGTCTAGTGAATGATAGTAACACTGACCTAGGCAAGGAACAAAGAAGAGGAATAGGTCTGCAGAAGAGAGGTGATAAATTAAAATTTAAGGTGTACATGAATTATTGAATTATTTAAGTGAGCTTCCAGAAGGTGGAGTTCAGGAGGTCAAATCTGGGCTGGAGATAAAGATTTTGAAGTCATCACCGTATTGATGACAACTAAAGTCATGAGAGTGGATGAGATCCCCTGTGGAGAGAGTGGAGAGTGAGATGCTAAGAAACAACAGAACACTAACAGTGATGAGGCCAGCCTAGGGAGAACAGCCCAGAGAAGCAGCCAGGGACTTAGAACCAGAAGACTAACAGAATCAAAGAGAAGAGAGTGTTTTAGGAAAAAGATGTGGCCAGTTGTATCAAATGCTGCAGAGAGGACAGTAAGGTAAGGGTTGAGATGTATCAATATGATTTTTCAAGAGAGTAGTCGTTGGTGACTTGAGTGAAAGCACTCCTAGAGGCATAATGGGGGCAGAAGATGGACTGTAGTGGGTTAAGGAGTGAATGATACTTGAAGACAAGGAAATAGCAAATATAGAAAACTTTTGTAAGAAACTTGATGGTACAGGGGTTTAGAGATGGCTGTTAACAGATGTTCCCTCTATATTCACTGTACCATTTTCGTATGTCTATCTCATATTCAAGATATTTGTGAACTCTCTTGTGGTTTTTATTATGCTAAAAACAAAACAAAATGAAAACACAAAAACCAAACCCACTTCCATTGAGTCAAATCCAACTTATAGAAACCCCCACTGGATTTCCAAGGAGGTAAATCATTACAGAAATAGATTGCCCCATCTTCCTTCTGTGGAGTGGCTGGTGTGTTTAGAACCCCCAACCTTCTGGTTCACAGTCAAATGCCTTAAGCACTGTAAATCCCATTATTATTATTATTATTTTTAATTTTTTAAAATTGTGATTTGGGTGAAAGTTTACAGAGGAAATTCATTTTCCATACAACAGTTCATACACATTTTGTTTCATAACACTGACTGCTATCTCCATAATGTAACAGCTCTCTTCCCACTTCTCCCGTGTGGTTACCTTTTCCCTGTGTCCTTCTTTCCTATGCATTCCTGCCCTCTGAGCTATCTCCTTGTGCAAATACTGCCCTTCTGATCTCCCATTGTTGATTGTTCTAAGGAGTGTACCCACCTGATATAAATATTTACCTTATACATCTATCTATTTGGCTGGAAGGAGCTCTGGTAGCATAGTGCCTAAGGCACTTGACTGCTAACCAGAAGGCTGATGGTTCAAACCCACCAGCCACTCCTCGGAAGGAAGGTTGGGCATTCCTACTTCCGTAGTGATACTGCCTCGGAAACCCAAGGAGGGGTCGCTATGAGTAGGGGCCGACTCGATGGCAAATAACAACAACAGCATTTGGCTGGAAGCCACAGAGTGAGCTCAATTCTGAAGGGTGACTAGGCGCCGTAGACTTGTGGGTTTCACCAGTCTTTATCAGACCAGTAACCCTGGTCTTCTTTTTTTTTTTAATAATAATTTTGAGTTTTGGTCCACATTTTTCTACCACTCTATTCAGGATCTTCTATATTAATCCCTTTCTAAGTGGTTGACAGTGGCAGCCATCTAGTTCTTCTGGTCCCAGGGTCACGTACACTGAGGTTCACATGGTCCACCACATGGTCCACCAGTCCCTTGGACTAATTGTTTCCATGAGCCTTTGGTTTTCTTCATTCTTCTTTGCTCTGGATGAAGAGAGACCAATTATTGCATCTTACATGGCTGCTTGCCAGCTTTTAAGACTCCAATCTTAATAATAAGTCTATTATTTTATATTTTCATAGTTCCTAGTTTAGGTCTTGCATATACATGGTGCTCTGCTAACTTAATACTTATTTAAATGACTTTCCGGCTTCCAAATTTCAGGCTTTTATAGGATGAAAGTAAATATCAAGTGTGTATCCTTTTCATGGGGAGTTTTGGTGGTGTAGTGACTAAGACACTTGACTGTAACCAGAAGTTTGGTGGTTCAAACCCACCAGCTACTCCTTGGAAGGAAGGTTGGGTGATCTACTTCCGTAGTGATACTGCTTTGGAAACCCAGGGAGTGGTCGCTATGAGTCAGAGATGACTCTATGGCACGTAACAACAACATCCTTTTCATGTGTTTTCCTCTTATGTAATTTCCTCTCATTTGATGGAAAGGTCTCCATTCCAGGGGTGAAAGAGATGATGACAAGCTCATGATTTAATAGAATCTCGTGCTTTCTGAAACTTTTGGGAATTAGGGGAAAACTCTCCTCAGATGGAAGAAGAAAACAGGGACGAAGCATTTTAATAAAAAAAAATTTATTATGATTATTTACATATCAGTTTCTTGATAAGCAAATAAATGTAAACTTTTATTGTTGGCATTATTTCACATATGATTTATCGAAATTCAGAGTTAATACTGTCATTTGAGTGTACAGGTAGTGACAAAATGTTATATTCACAGAATATACATATACGTGCATTCCAAATGTGTCTGTCTTCAAGCCAGTGGAATAGACACTGTCCCATTGGCCCTGCTTCTGGTTCTCAGATGTACACTGGAGTCAGTGATGTCATCCACATGTTCCTCACTTTTCTTCTCCTTCAGGCTGTTGATGAATCTCAGGGTAATTTCATCCCACTCCTCAGGCAATAACATCAGCAGAAACCCAATGCAGATAATGATGGTAGCAGCCAGGCGGACAACATTGAATATCACCTCCTGCTTCAGGAGATCCACAGCTATGACAGGAGAATCAAGTCAGTAACAGTCTATGACTGTTTCTAAGTTTCTTTGAAATAAAATGACCGAAGTCTGTGCTAGAGCTAGAAATTTTCCAAACTCTTCATTATTCTTTCAACCTGGTCTTCCTTTTTCCATATTGTCATTTATGCTGTTCCCTTCCTTTGTTCTCCATTCCTTCTCTCTAAGTCACATTTATCCTTCAAGGGTCAGATCAAATTCCATATCAGCTGATGCTTAGTTACCTCTCCAGCCTTATGTCTTAATATTTTCCCTTTGCCCTTGCACCCAATTCACCTTTCCCTGTTGGCAATCTATTCTTCAGTCTTTTTGGACAACTTGAAAATTTCCAAAATGAATGCCTGGGTCTTTGCCTATGCTGTTATTTTTGCATGGAATTCCCTTCTATCCTCATATCCCACTTCATCCAGCTGATCCCTCTCTTAGGTCTTTTTCCTCTGGCTTCTTGCAGGAAGCCCTTTTGACACCCCTCTCATACGCTTTCAGAACATTCAGTACATATCTCTATCCAAGCATTTCTCTTTCTAAATTGCAATCATTCAATTTATCTTGCCTCCCTCTCTAGACTACATAATTGTGCCTTATTTAGGCTCTATCATCAGTGTTAGCACAGTTCCTGGCATACACAAAGTGCTCAGTAATTATTTATTGAATGAATGAATTCACGGATGAATGGATGAAGTTCTTTGACAACTCTATTCTTCCGTGATGATTCGTTCTTCTAGATATCTTATAGCCCTAGGAGTCTGTCTCACACAATTTGACACTTAATAATAAATTCCTCTGTAGAGTTCCAAATTGTTTCATGTCCATTGGTCTTGTTTCCCAAACTCAATTGTAAGCTTCCTAAGGGAAGTGACAATGTCATCATTTTTTTTTGCCCCTGTATCCTCTACATCCCTGATAACATAGTAAATGCTGCATAAGCATCTGTTGTTTGTCTGGGGAGAAGAAAGACGGCCCCTCAAGACTTATAATCATATGATTTTAGAGTTAGAAGAACTGTACAGGCATCCAGATAATCCACTTTCATTACCTGTTCCACTGACAGGTTTGACTAGAAAGATTATCTGGGAAAATAGCTTCTCCTCTTGTCCCTGAAGTGAGTCAAATTGCTTTTTCCTTGTATCTATTCTGGAGGGCCATCTGCTCTGCCCCCAGATGAAGCTTCTACAGCTCCCCATGGATAGTCTGATGGGGAGCCAGCACCCTGTACATTCGCTACACTTTCATTAGTGACGTTTCCTTGAGAGTCCTTTGCTGGGGTGCCTTTTGTTTCCATAGGGCTTCCTCTAAAAATACCACAAAATTAGGTTGTCAGGGAGATTACATGAAACCCAAATAATACATTTGGTATTTAATTCTAAAAGCTCGACCAAGTAAAAACAGTATTTGTAGCTGCAAAATTTAAATCTGCTGCATAGTTATTCTGCTGTCTGCTACCTTCATGATATTTAAAAACATCTTCCTGGGCAAGGGACACAATTCACAATTGCTAGAAGAAACAACTAGGTGTTGTTTCAGTGAGCTGGGCACTTATTGTGGTGGTCAGAATCTTCAGATGTTAAATCATACCAGTACCTGCATTTCCAGGAATGCTGAGCACTGTCCCAATGGAGATTAGGATTGGGTATGTCAGCACCACGCCGACATTCACCAGGATGTTGAAGGCTGGAAAATAAAGTAGGAATTACAGGCTGACAGGAAATTGATATGCTTGGCTCTTTTCTTCTTAACTTAAAAGAATTAATGTATGTACTAAACATGCCTTCTAAAAACTGCCTACATCTTTGATCAATTAATCCTCTAAAAAGTGAGTGTATGTATAGCTGGCCTGAATTAATCATATTCTTTTTTCCTTCTCTGCCATCCTGGCTGCCTGATATCTTACCAGTTGTTTGCCAAAAAGTATTTGAAGCAAATGCAGAGGAAAATTAATCAATCCAGAATACTGTTTATTAGCACTATAAAGGTAAGTTGGGGCCAGCCAGAGGTTGGAAGCTGGTGACTGTTTGAAGTTTGGGCTTCATCTCTGTGTTACTTTGCTATATTCTGCCATATTCCTGGATAACTAAAGAGCTTCTGTATTACGACCCCAAAGAAGGTCTATTCAATGATTTTCTATGCCGTTTTACCTCCTCTCTTGAGTTGAACATCATATGGGCAAACAAAGGTGGGTTAAATGTACTTCATTGAACTCCTGGGACCTTTCCTGCATCCAGATGTGTGCATGGATAACCCAGGACTAGTCCACAAAACAATTGAAGGTGTTGTTGAAGCCTTTTAATTAATACCTTTGGAATTTGTTAAATATATGATTGATTAAAATATTCAGCTATCCCCTTCAAAAGTTACCAAAGATACAGATCTTCAAAAAGAAAAAAGGTATTATTTTAAGAGATTTCAATAAATAATAGTTTGTTTTAGGGATTGGAAAGATAAACATTAACAAGTATAAAAGATCCTCAGTTCAGAAAGGATCTCTATGGAAATGACTCATATGTCTGTAGAACCAAAGATGAGGCCGTTTATTCTTCCATTGCCATCTATAATTCTGCTTTAATTAAGTCCCCTAGCTTAGTTACCTGGAGTTACTTGTGTTTGTTAATTAAAGACAATGAGTTTGACTTTCACAAGGTTTGGAATCATTTATAATTTTCATACAATAGTAGTGGCAAACAAGGCAGGGACCTTCCTACATTGATAACTGTACCTCCTTCATGGCAGAAGTGGAATATACCAACGCCTAGGCTCTCTCCTCAGACTTTGGGAGTCAAATATGCCACATTCTAACAAATCAGACATTCATTGAATACAGCATAGACTCTGCTGAACTCTTCAGCTATCATCTATCATCTTTTTGGCTGAACTGCATGTTTTAGCAAATTGGAAGAAAGTGTTGTATTTGGGTGAGAAATGAGCCATTCTCACTCAACAGTACTCAGGTGACCAAACTTGAACATGTCTGTTTTTCCTTAGATGGAATACTTCTATGGTCTTTTAAAAACAACCTAAGGAAAAGAATATAATACAATGTGTCATCTGTAGCTTGCTCAAGTTTCAGTGGGATTCACACATGTCATGTGAATGAATGAAGCCAATACGTATGTGGGCCAGAGTGCTCCCAGGTAGATAGATCACCCTGAGAGAAGGTGTGAGGAAGATAAACTTCAGCAAGCAAGAAAGCTATAATTTCAGGGGGTGGAGGTCAGGCAGTGTTTCATTCTGTTGTACACAGGGTTGCTATGAGTTGGAGCTGACTTGATAGCACATAACAACAACAACAAAGTCAGTTCAGAGTATATCCTGACATTTGTCTACGATCTAAGCCCCAAATAGATGACATCTGATTCCTATGGAGAAATGAGGTAGGAAAATAAAAAGTTAAGAGCAGGAGCACTGAATATTGTAAAACAATGGGGAATAGCAGTAGCGTAACACAGACAAGGAAGAGGCTGTCTCCTCATTTTGTCACGGAGTAGCTTTAGCATCGTGAGGACTGTAGTGCCCTTGGTGTGGCCCTGGTAGAGCAGCTGTAGTGTCTGGTAGACAGTGGCAAGACCCTTTGGAGCTCAGAGATCATGCTACTTGGTGGGACTACAATGCCCAGCCAGCATGAGCGACACTCAGCTTGAACAGACTTGCTAGGAAGCAAGTGTTTGACATGTCAAGAAATTCACAATGGTAGATGGCTATTTTAGAGCAAGCTAGAGATCATGTGTGCACAGCTGGATGCAAGAGTCATTAAAATTTTGGTTATGATTGTTACTGGAACTTCATTTGTTCCCAGTTGGGTTGTATTTGGCCAGGAAACAATTTAGGCACTTTTTATTCAGATCTATTGACCTTTGGAAACACTGCCATTGATTTTTACTCAATTTAGCAGAGGTAATAAGAGATGATAATCACACATTTTTGTTTTTCAATAGTAGAACTCAAGGGACCAAGAATTAATGTTTGACCCTTCCTTGGGTCTTATCCAGGCTCTCCCTGTAGCAGTCTGAGCTGGAGTGGAAAAAGATGACCCAATGCTTATGAGGGAATAAAAATAAGAACATTTTTTCTCTCAGGAACTGCAGTGTTTCAGATTATATCACCTAGGTAAAGAAGGTCACTTAAGAGTTGGCAGATATCCTACATGTGGAGCCTAATGGTTCAATGTAGAGCAAGCAGAGCGGGTGACCTTGGGTAGTATGAGGAAAGAGGAGTGGAATGAAAATAAGTTGATTCTGAGTAAACAGACATTGAATCACTGGGCTGTTGCTTTTGGACTGCTTGGTGAGAGAAGAGTAGGCTTGTGATTTTTCAGGCTCCTTTCACATGAAGTAACAGCAGCAGCACAGCTTGAAAGTGGGAGCCCTGGTTGCTTAGGAGAAGCAGACACTCCAAAGTTATAGGGAATCAGGAGAGAAGACACTAAAAAGACTCCAGTGTTTTGTGTTTTTTCCTTGTCCATTGGCTAAGCACAGCCTACTCAGCCTGGACAAGCAAAGCCCAGTTCAGGCCACCATCTTTTCTTGCCTGGTAAAGGCTTCCTGTCTCAAATGCATTCTCCACACTTAGTCAGAGTGAGCTTTTCAAAATGCACAAGTGAGCATGTCACTTCCCTGCCTAAGGATTATCGAGTGGATTTTAAACCTAAACCTCCCAATGTGGCATTCTAGACCCTTCATGATGTGCTTCCCTCTAGAATGTCATCTCCTTCCTCCTCCCCTAAACTCAGTGGTGGTTCAAACCCACCAGCCACTCCCCGGAAGGAAGGTTGGGCAATCTACTTCTCTAGTGATACTGCCTCAGAAACCCAGGGAGGGGTCGCTATGAGTTGGATCTGACTCCACGGCAGTGGTTGCATTGTGTTTGCATATATGTAATTAAAAACAAAGATTTCATTATGGCAAAAGAGTATTTTGCAAAATGGGGAAAATACAGAATCAAGAAGCCCTTGATAAAGTGCCCCAAGGACCTACAAAGTTATAGAGGTTAATAAAGATAAAACCCACAAATATGGGGGGCGGGTACAGCTGAGGTATTTCTGATTGGTTAGCATCTATAAAATTGTAGGTGGTAGGGTATTGGTTAACTTTTTTTTTTCAGGAGTTGACTTCCTTTGCAAGAATGGCTCCAGGTGAAAGGATTTTGGCTGACTACAAGTTTCCCAGAACAATTTTAAAGTATAGATATAGAGTACTGTAAAGGAAGGTATAGGGCATTTTCTGAGAATTGACTAAGCACTAAAATCACATGTTTCCAAGCACATTAGATCATCTAGACACCTGTAGCCCAATTCCTGAGGTTGGCAAAGTCAAAACAGTTTTAAGAAATAGTCGAAGGATCAATAATGGAGTTAGATCTACATTATACTGGTGGACTCTGTTAAAACATGAAAGCAAAGAATTTGTTTAAAGACTGAAACAATTACAAGTGAGAATGTCAAGTATTCTTATGCTCAAGGAGATAAAAAGAGTTTTGATACAGAAAAGCTATAGCATGTCTCACTTAGAGGACTAAGGGGCACCTGACTCAAGCCATGGCTTTTTAAATTGTTTCATATGCACATAAAACCTGGATGATGCATAAGGCAGACTGAAGAAGAACAGATGCCTTTGAATTATGGTGTTGGCAAAGAATAATAAATATACCATGGACTACCATAAGAATCTGTCTCAGAAGAAGAACAGCCAGAATACACCTTAGAAGCAAGGGTGGCAAGACTACATCTCACATACTTTGGACATGTTATCAGGAGGGACCAGTCCCTGGAGAAAGACATCATGCTTGGGAAAGCAAAAAAAGAGAAGACCTTCAACAAGATGGATTGACACAGTGGCTGTGATGATGGGCTCAAGTGTAGTAAGGACAGTGAGGATGGTCCAAGGCTAGGCAGGGCTTCACTCTTTTGTACAGAGTGTCACTATGAATTGGAACTGACTCAATGACACATAACAACAACAACATTTAACATTAGTTTATTCTAACCACAAGCACATTTCTCTAAAGCTGAACCACAACTTGTTCTCTTTAACGCCTATATGAGCAAGGTAAGCAAAACTGTATTTTTCCCTTAAACTGTTTATATCTAGATCAAAGGTGCAGTAGGAATTGTTACAGAAATGACAGGCTGCATTGTATGATAGAAGTTGCATTTAAAAATGCAAAATAGAGTCTCCTGAGGCAAAATGGAGGTTCAGCTTAGACCTTAGTTTCAAGTCTCAGTTATGTCAAGAGTTGGTTTTAGAAAGCTCTTCCTCACTCCCACCTTTTGATCAAGAATTCCTGTAGGAATTCAATGATCATATTTAAGAGCATTATAGATTGTATTCATTTACCTTGGCTTCACCTTGCTAGGCTAGGTAGGAGTCTCATCTTCAGGATGGGTTGTTTTTCAGATTTATTTTCTGATTCCCCACAAAGGAGGAACACTTCTTCTGCAAAGACTTGGTTGTGTAAGGTCATAGATGACTGCTTGTTACTTACAAACCTTCCTTAAATGCTCTGCTTTAGTGATCTTTTGTGTTGGGGTTATGGATAGAGCAAGGCTGTATTAAAAAGTAACAACTTGATATACAGGAGGCTCCTAACTAAAGTATAAATTCAGTCTCCTCTAGGTAGGTAGGGGGCTCTGGTGGCATAGTGCCTAAGGCATTTGACTGCTAACCCAGAAAGCTAATGGTTCAAAGCCGCCAGCCATTCCTCAGATTGGGCAATCTACTTCTGTAGTGATATTGCCTCGGAAACCCAAGGAGGGGTTGCTATGAGTCGGATCCGACTTGACAGCAGTGGTTTTTTTGGTTTTCTGGGTAGGTGGTCCTATTAAAGTACCTAATTTGCTGCTTAGTAGGAGTCCTGGCTTGGGTGGAGAGTCTAGAAGTACAATTAATTATGCATTTTATAATTTTAAATATGATGACAGAAATAAGAAGCAAAACTAATCTAACCTGGGCGATAGAGCATAACTAAGAGCTAATACACTTTGTGAATCAATTACTAAAAATATTTTAAAAATAAAAGAAAGAGGAATTGACTTCAGGATTATTGATGTGCAATTAGGTAGCCTTCTGGTGTATTCAAAAAAAAGTTTTGTTTTTATCAGTTAGTTAAGTTTCTTGGGCTGGCTACTGTTTTATTGATTTTGACAAAGGCATTTCTTTCTTTCTTTCTTCTTCTTTTTTTTTAAGCTATTAAAGGTACTTTTAAATGGCCTGTGGTGATTTTAAATACCTTTTATTAAGAGTAAATACTATTAACAAATAAATTCTAGCTGATAAGATAAGGCTATTTTGAGTGAAGAGGTGTTAAAAGAAAATTATATACTAAGAAATATACCTTAATTGTTAAAGTCATTTTTAACTACTTTGTGTTATTGAATGCATCATCCACTCTCATCCTGGTCTGACACATGATAGCACATATGGAAGTACACTGTGATAAATAGATGAGGCTGCCTGGAGACCAGTAAGGAACAGAGGAGCCTGGGCCTCCAGCGGCACATATTAACCCATGTGAGGCACACCAGTTGGATAGCTCTGATCTAATCAAGTAATAGACTGCAAACAATCTTCTAAATCCTCAGTAACATTAACCAACCTAAGGTAAGTTTGTGAAATAGAGGACAGAGGTACCCAATGGAACAAATCTACTCTGATAAACAATTTTATCAAGTAAAAGTGGAATAACGTAAGAAATAGAATGTGAAATCCAGGGCCACTTACCCAGCCACAGCCCTGCCATTCCACATAGACAGCCCCATGGCAGAGCTGCAAACGAGGACCAGTGCTCCACCTTGGTGAAATACAGGATGACCGGGGTGAAGGAGATGAAGATTAAATTGAAGAAACCCAAGGTAGAGACAAAGTGAGCTGCTTCACCAAAGTTAGCACTTCCAAGAAACATCTTAAACAAAACCTGGAATGGGAAACAAACTTTTTCAGCCACATCATATTTATTTATGACCTGCTAGATCAGAAGGGCAAGATCTATTGATCTACACAGTGAACTAACTGGCTGAGCATTTACCCTCCATTTCTTCTGGCCCTGCCATCTTTATGACACTAAATGGGCTGTTGAGACATAGAATTAAAATGTTCTATCACTTTCATATGAAAGAAAACATTCCATAAAATGAGTTTCTTATAGTGTTGAAAACTACTGGGGTATCATAAACTGTGTTAAGTGCCACCACTGGTGATGGGTACAGGACGAGTGATAAATAAGAGTGCAGACAAGCCATGAAAAATCTTTTGGTGCTGAAATATCAGTTCTTTCGTTGAAGCATAGAATTCATTTCATTCTTATTTTGACAAATACTGAAAAGTAATTTGGACAAAGGTAATCTGTCATTATATTTTTGAGAAATAATCATGTGCCTTGGATTTATATGCACTTTGCTTTCTGAGCTTATTTATTTATTTTTACCAACTTTGTGTTTATTTACTGGGTTAAAAATCCTCTCTAGATTATAAAACTGTATGAGAAAGATGACAAGGAAAGGTGAATGGCTATCCTAAAGTTATAGGACAGGCTTGGAGACGGAGCCAGATCTATAATCCACGTTTCTTGTCTTCTTAATTACTCTGCTTCCTATACTAATTCTCTAACAAACAAGGTAAAACGGACCAGATCTTTTCTTCCTGGAACTATGATGCAGATATGATTTATTGCATCTTAGGAAGTACACTATCCCCAGAATGAATACATTCTATAACATAGGAGAATTCTCCTAGTCACATAGAAATTCCAGGTACTGCTTTTAATTTCAACTCAACTCACTATTTTTTCCCTTGAGAGACTTAATCAAGAGAACATGAACACATGCTAGTCTCTGGTCACATCAGACATCCCATGGCGCCTTGGTTGGGGGGCAAGTAAGACATTAACGGCGATCAAATGAACACTTGTCAAGCTTGTCACAGAGAATCAATGGGCCAGGAAATGTCAGTATAGAAATAGACTTCATGTCCTCTGAGTGGCAGTGGTGTTGAATAATCAGAATAGCTATCCAGGAGGGATGCAAAGGGCATTTTCAAAGAGTATTTTTTTTTTATTGAAACACCGAGAGAGGTGAAATTGAAACACTCCTTTAGATACATCCAGAGAGTAGGCTCTTAAAAGTAGAGCTTTGGGGAATAACCTTTTAGAATTGTTCTCTTAGTCCTTGCTTCTGAAGTCAGGTGTAATGACTCAGAATAGAATTTTCACTGATGACAGGGGACTCTAGTGGAGAAAGAATGATGAGGACCTAAAGTAGGCCCAGCACATCCATCAGAGAGGAAAAGGGGTTTTTCAGTTTGCTTATAACATGAGCTCCTGTGCTTTGGAGTTAACACCCAGCCAATGATGAGCTCTCATCTGATAGCTTGTTTATTATTTCTAATATCTCTGGGGTATTAAAATAATGACCACAGATAATTAAATTAAAGACATGAAAGGAAATGTCACAAACTACCTTGCCATATAGAGGCCTTTCTAATGCCTCTGCTATAACTGCTTGATAACTGGGCCCAGAGAGGGTCAGTAGGGAGGAGCACATGTGCTTCGGAGTTGGTCAGTCTGGAGTCTAAGTCTAGGTTCTATCACTTCCTAGCTGTATGACCTCGGACGAGTTACTTAATTGTCCAAAGCCTCAGTTTCTTCACCCCTGTTTCCTCATCTGGAAAGTCGACATAAATACCTGCACCTCACAAGCTTGAGTTAACACAGATGAAATTTTCTGAAAAGTGCCACTTTACCCACTATCATCAAGTTGATTCCAACTCATAGGAACTCTGTAGGACAGAGCAGAACTGCCTCATAGGGCTTCCAAGGCTGTAAATCTTTGCAGAAGCAGACTGCTTCATCTCTCTCCCAAGAAGCAGCTAGTGGGTTCAAACAATTGACCTTTTGGTTAGCAGCCAATGCTTTTATTTACACTGTACCACCAGAGCTCCTGCCCAGCATACAACAAGTGTTTAACAAGTACTTAAAAAATACAACAAGTACTTAGTAAATTGGTTTGAACCCACCAGCTAGCTGCTGGGCAGAAGAAAGATGAGGCCGTCTGTTTCTGTAAAGATTTACAGCCTTGGAAACTCAATGGGGGTTGCTATGAGTTGGAGTCAACTTGATGGCAGTGAGTTTTGTTTTGGTTTTTGGATATTTTTTCCAACCAAGGTTTTCTCTGTGCTTCCTTGCTTTATTAAGTCGACTCTAGATGACAGGTGACTACAAAAGATAGTGCACAACATACCTTATATAATGCAGATGTCGAGGCTGAGCCCACTGCAAATGCCACTCCTATGATTGAATCGGCGTGGAAATTATCTGCATAGGCCATCATGACGATGCCGGTGATTGCCATTATTGCAGCAACTATCTGTCAAATAGAATGCAGCAAAACAGAAGAAGAAAAATTGATGCCTCTCTGTTCCAGAGCAAGCAATTCAAGACTTCATGAAAGTTGCTAAATGCCTCCTCGAATAGAATTACCTCTTGTACTTCACTGTTTAAATGTAAGAAGCAAAAAAAAAAAAAAAAAAAAAAACCCAAAAACCTCACTGCCATCCAGTCGGTTCTGACTCATTCAAGGTGGGTATCTCTATGGAAGTAGATTGGCCAGTCTTCCTCCCAAGGAGTGGCTGGTGGGTTTGAACCATGAGCCTTCTGGTTAGCAGTCAGATGCCTTCGGCACTATGCTACCAGTCAGTATTAAGAAAATCAGTATGCCCGCAAAACATCTAGGCATAGAATATAAAAACTACTCAGATTCTCATTAAAGGGATAGTAATTTTTAGTTTAATTTTAGTTCAAAATTCTAAAAATTAATGTCCATAATGATGAAATAAGTTTAATGTAAAGTCACTTGTAAGCACTTTCATCCATACTGTATTCTTTTGCTTCAAATAATTCAGCAAATATTTTAATAAGCTTCTTGGATCAATGCATGTTTCTGAAAGTCTCCACCTTACCAGGACTGGATTAGAGAGGCCTAATATTGATACAGCTAAGAGACTAGGCCAAAGAAAAAAAAAAAAGCAAATAATCTCTCGTAGTGATTTATGCAGAAGCAGGGAACTCTGGTGGCGTAGTGCCTAAGGCATTTGACTGCTAACCAGAGGGCTGGGGGTTCAAACCCACCAGTCACTCCTCGGAAGAAAGAGTGGGTGATCTACTACTGTAGTGATACTGCCTCAGAAACCCAAGGAGGGGTTTCTATGAGTCAGATTCGACTCGATGGCAGTGAGTTTGTTTTTGGAAGCTGAGTCTGCCCTGTCACTTTGAATGTCAACTGGAGGCCAGTTCTTCCTTTTGTTTACATACAAGTTAATTTCTTTTTTTTTTTTTTTTTTGGTAAACCACAGAAAGATAATCTTGTTTGATTATTCTAGAGTATTAACTGCATAAAGTAAAATATTCATAATTCAATTGAAATCATAATGGTTTACTGTCAATTGATAGACTCCTTGTGATATTCAAAACAGGAATCCACTCCTGTAGTGAATGCTAGCTTGCATCCATTTATTTAGTTATTTTGAACTGGTTCTACTGGAAAACATTTCAAGGCCACAGTAAACAGTAAAATAACAACCCTGGAATAGGGAGCAGTATGTCATTTCCTTGTGAAATGTTCTCATTGACTTTAAAATCAAGATGAAAATTTGTGAGAAATTTAAACATACACAGCAACTAATTTTGTTAAACTTCAGTTCTGAGCATTCCCAAGTCAATAAGTTCTTCTGTAGATAACTTTTTCACATATTTGATTTTTTTTTTTTGAGGGGAGGAGTTACTAGTGAATTATGTATTACAATAAAATGTAGCTCTTTAATATGTAACTGTAGACTCAACTGAGCTGGTGCAAAGAAATATGTTCATGATGACACATATAATTTGGATACTGCTAACAACAACAACAAAGCAATTCTTCTGTTAATGACCACCAAAAGCAAGTACATGGTTGATTTCTGAGCAGCTCCATACTAAAAGCATCCTTTATGAAAAACAGCGGGAGTACTTGGGAACAGACACTGACATGTCAACAGTGAAACACGGTCTTCATAAAATGTTATCTGGGAGGCTGTTTGATGGGAGGAGGTTCTCTTGTTGAGTGAATGTCATATTCTCTAAAGTTGCCAGGCAAGTGTTCTAGTTAGGCTATGCCTCAAACTCTAGAGAATATAATTTAATACACACACCATGAGGTGTCAAGGAAATTTTCCAAACAAGAAGTAATAGACTCATAAATAAACATGGTAAGGGGGTTATCTGGAATTCTGTAAGCTTTATCATTTTCTTTGATTTGAGAATTTACCATTCAGCCAGGGATTTGCAACAATTCTCTGGGTGATCTGATTTCAGGAGTATGAAAAGACACATCAGACGCTGAAATTTTCTGATTTAGTTTTGTGTTTTTAAAAAAATGCCCATGGGTTAAAGTATTCATATGTACAAAAGATTTCCTTCCTAAGACTGAATTTGTAGGATAATAAATGTGAATTAATATTTGTTGTCTTTTGGTCAGGCATCAGTTAGATTTTCTTGGTCAAGTTAGCAGGTGATTACTTCAAGACGGGGTAAATAGAACACAGTGTTGATCCGGCTGAACACGATGTGCTTGTTCATATTTAAAAGTCTTAATTCTCACAAGTGTTCTGTAATATCTATGGAGGTATTTGGGCTTGGGAAATTGTGAAAACAAAAAGTCTGTAGGACTAAGATTTAAAAAAAATAAATAAATAAAATAAAACTACTACCTAGAAAAGGTGGAGCATGTAACATCCCTGGGCTATGACCACAATTGGGAATGCTTCCTTTTCTGAGTCAGTCATTAGTAAAAAATATACATGCACGATATTTCTATTGTAGGTGTTCTCATGATAGAAAATGGATATAGTCAAAGATTAACTAATTTTATAGAAATTCAAACTTATGAACATGATGAGCCTTCTAAAAATCTCCACTACATTTTATATTCATGCACTTGTGAAAATATTAGCCTGGACCACTTAAATTGACATATCAATTACACCACTGTCTCTTTCAATTGTATTTATGGAGAGCAGCATTTACACTTCAGGGGACCATACAACACTATTAGCCAAGTTCTTAAAGCATAAAATTCTGAATAGCAAGATGTTAAACGATTCTTCTCCATGGTATGAGTAATAATTTATAGGTTATATAGTAGGTTCCTACAAGCTTATGAATAATTTATAGGTTATATAGTGGGTTCCTACAAGCTTATGAATAATTGATAGGCTATAGAGTGGGTTCCCACCAACTTATAAATAATTTATAGGTTATATAGTGGGTTCCTACAAACTTATGAATAAATTTTTAGGTTATATAGTAGGTTCCTACAAACCTATAAATTACAGCTCATGCCATGGAGAAGAATCATTTTAACATCTCACTATTCAGATTTTTATGCTCTATGAACTTGAGAAATAGCATTGTCTGGTCCCCTGAAGTGAAAATGCTTCTCTCCATGAAGACAATTGAAAGAGACAGTGCTGTAATTGATACATCAATTTAAGTGGTCCAGGATAATATTTCACAAGCACATGAATATAAAATGTAATAGAGATCTTTAGAAGTCTCACCATGGTTATAATTTGAATTGCTATAAAATTATGCTATAAAATTATGTAATCTTTGACTATATCCAATTTATATCTTGAGAAAACATACAATAGAAACATTATGCATTATATTTTTACTAATGGCTGATTCAGAAAAGGAAGAGTTCCGAGTTCCCAACTGTGGTTATAATCTAGGGATAATCACTTTACATGATCCTTCTTTTCCAGGCAGTGTATTTGTTTTTTGCATTTTTTTAAAACAAACAAACAAACAAACAAACACTGGCCCTACTGGCTGTTTGTTTTTACAATTCCTTAACCCTAGATACCTCCACAGATATTATAGAATACTTTTAAGAATTAAGACTTTTAAATAAGAAATTGGTTAAAGTTCATTAGGATTAATGCTGTGTTCTACTAACCTTGTCTTGAGGTAACCACAAATTCAAGAAATGATGAAGTAAAAGAGATGAAAAGAAGATTTCAAATTGATATACCCATTGAAATGTTTCAACAAATAGAAGCAACACTGGAAGCACTCACTCACTTGTCTATGCCAGGAAATTTGAAAGACAGCTATCTATCTGGTCACCTGACTCAAAGAGTTCCCTGTTTGTGCCCTTTCCAAAGAAAGGTGATGCAACAGAATGTGGAAATTATAAAACAATATCATTAATATGAAAACCCTCACAACTGGACCAACAAGAAACATCATGATAAATGGAGAAATGCAAAAGACCTCTTTAAGGTGGTAAGGAGCAGAGATGTGACTTAGAAGACTAAGGTGAGCCTAACTCAAGCCATGGTACTTTCAATCTCCCCATATGCATGTAACAGCTGGGCAATGAATAAGGAAGATCAAAGAACTGATGCTTTTCAACTGTGATATGTTGGCGAAGAATACTGAATATATCATGGACTGCCAGAAGAATGAACAAATCTGTCCTGGAAGAAGTGCAGCTGGAATGCTCCTTAGAAATGAAAATGTCCAGACTTTATTTTGTCTCACCTAGTTTGGTCATGTTGTCAGAAGGGACCATTTCCTGGAGAAGGATAAAATGCTTGGCAAAGTAGAAGGTCAGTGAAAAGAGGGGAGACCCTCATGGAGACGGATTGACATAGTGACTGTAACGGGGGGCCCAAGCATAGTGGGGATTGTGAGGATGGCACAGAGCAGGCCGTGCTTCACTCTGTTCTACACAGTGTTGCTATGAGTTGGAGCCAAATTGACAGCACCTAATAACAACAGCATCATTAATATCACAAGCAAATAAACTTTTTGCTGAAAATAATTCAAAAACAGTTGCCGTAATGCATAGACAGGGAACTGCCAGAAATTCAAGCCAGATTCAGAAGAGTTTGTGTAACAAGAGATATCATTGATGATGCCAGATGGATCTTGGCTGAAAGCAGAGAATACCAGAAAGATGTTTACCTGTTATTATTGACTGTGCAAAGGCATTTGACTGTGTGGATCGTAACAAATTATGGATAACACTGAGAAGAATGGGAATTCTAGAATGCTTAGTTGTGCTCATGTGGAACCTGTACATAGACCAAGAGGTAGTAGTTCAAACAGAACAAGGGGATATTGCATGGTTTAAAATCAGGAAATGTGTGCATTAGGGTTGTATCCTTCCACCATTCTTATTCAATGTATATGTTGACCACATAACCTGGGAAGCTGGACTACTGAAGAAGAATGCAGCATCAGGATTGGAGGAAGATGCATTCACAACCTGCTATATGCAAACAACACAACCTTGCTTGTGGAACATGAAGAAACTGGAAGCAC